CTGCTTAATACAGGTTTGACTGAATGTAGTAGAAGCATCAAACAATCCTGCTCAAAAGTAGTAAAGCATAATCATTCAACCTCATCACTGAAAAAACTTGCAGTATAGTAATAAATCCATTGCACTCTTAATTAAGTAGTAACAACATCAATCAAATGTTAATTATTCACCTATCTTAGATAATTATATTATTAAATAGATGTAAACTACAGCACTCATTAGTAAGAGGATGTTGCCTTCTGGATGGAACATGCAATTTTGCACCAATAACAATTTACCATGGTTATAATACCTACCTCTGTGTATAATACTGTGGTTTTCTCTAAGGTAGCTTAAGCCTTTTAAAACCTGCAAGAGAACAATTTTTATACAACTGACACCTGGGTAAGAAACATATTTCGCAACCCAGAAATTAATCTTGGAGCCCTGCACATGCAAAGTCTTGTTTGAACAGAAATTAATAGCCAGACAAATAACAATATATAGAGAGAAACATGTCCAACATTCCACAGAAAAGAGGATTCCCTTTTGTGCATGTGGCTTTCCTTGCTCTTTCTGCACAGTCCAAGATAACCCAAAATTTCAATCCAGCCCCATACATTTTCTTTTTCAGTTTGATGGCTGCAGCACAGTTTTGACCATAAACTTCCCCTTTCTCAAAATTCAAGTTTTTGCTTATCCTAGAGGTAACACTACATACATTAATCCTGGACTACAAATGGTCCATTGCCCTACTATCTGCTATATATAATATATATAATATATCAGCTAGTTCTTACAGCAATTGTGATAACTCCCAAAATATCCTCAGGTACTAGATCAGCCTTTTTCAATATTTGATCCAGGGAACCACCATCCTGAATATGAGATCATTAAGATAATTATTTCACCTCATTAACACTTTCACTTCCAAGAGATAAATATTAGTTCTTGGCTCTATCTACCATACCTTTCTTAAAATTTTTGCTCCAAGAATTTGATGTTAAATCAAATAATACTGCCAGTTAATATGATTTCCTCTCATTGCCTTTCAGCTTTAAACCTTTTACCCCTCAGATTTCTTTCTTAATTTTCCACACTGACTAGTGTACATTGCTTATAATTTTAGTTTCTTAGAAATGATAATCCCCTAATTGATATTTCTCCAAATTCTCACACTTTGTTGGCTAGACATTGTATTGATATTGTAAAGAGAAAGTAGGCCTTGGTCACTTCTGGGAATCAAAAAGGGTTAAAATGAATATACTCTTTAATGAGAAATAACATGCCAGACACTCTTATATGCCAAAATGTTAACTGACTGCTGGGCAAAGTAGGTCACCTTCTGCCTTCTGGTTATACCTCAAACCAACCATATGGGCATCTTCCCTTTACTCTTTAACTGCTGATAAGTTATGTTGACCTTGAACTCAAGCTGGGATATTTTTCAAAGCTGAAGTATGCTACAGATACAAACTGAAAAAGTGAGCTTATCTATACAATAATTTCCTAGGCAGTTAAGAAATGCCTTCCATCTTTTCAATACACTCCATAAGAATGGAAAGGGCAACTTGCAGTCTACACTGAAAGTTAGATTTTCTTGTTCTTGACTGGAAAAGATCAATTGAAAATTGATGAACCCACACCTCCACTAAAGCAAAGACATGATTGTACCAAACAAAGGCTTGTCTGAATAATATGTCATGGTTAGACCATACTAATACACCTTTTCATTTGGTCTGTCTAAAAGCAGCTTAACCTTGGTTTTTCTTGAAAAAAATTATTTTGTTGTCCAGTAATAAGCTACAAAGGTTTTTTGTTCCCACAAAAAAAAATTCTTAACTCAGTGGTTACCAGCTGTATCTTGTTTTCAGAGGATAGTCCACAACGTGACACCAATAAACAAACAACCACAAATATGTGTTTGCTAAGATGAGATCCACTTTTTTTCAAATGTTACCCAACTAATAGCCACCCAATCTGGGCATCATGAGAAACACAAACAACAAAAAAATTTAAAAGGGATCAGATCCTCTGCCTAAATCCTCAAAATTATGACACGCACTTGACATTAGCACAAGGTAATTTTCAACTGTGCAATTTACTAATCAGAAAAATTTAAGCCTGAAGTGCGTAATTTAGAGAAGAAGACAAAACAGTATTTAAATATGCAAATCAGTCTGTTTGCAGGTGAGAGAGTTGGAGAGCTAAAATGCAAACCAATCCTGCCCAGAAAACACAACTGTGCAGTGCTTGATCACAATGATAATAAACAATGTTAGAGTGAAAATAAGATACTGTTACGCGCACTAAAATAATTCCAGTCCTGGAAAGAATTTGGTTTGCGAAAGCCAAACCAAAACGAATAATTTAATCAATAAAGAAATAACCATGTTTGCAGGGTCATGTTCCTGCAAGGGAAATTCTTGATGTTCCAAATTAAATTGAATTCAGCTACTTTGAGGGATAATTAAATGCTGCAGAAGTAGCGATTTATCTCCAAAAATATAAAAGATAAAAAAAACGCTTTACTTTGCTTTCTGAGTGGCCCAGGCGATAACTGAACTGATCCTATTTGCATTTTGCAGAACAGCGCAAAGCATAAATATAAGATCGATCGAAAAGCCGCCATCAACTATGGTTTAGAGTGCCTGTTATCCTCAACTGACAGACCTCGAGACGAAAAGTAAACTTATCAACGTAAGAAGCTCCTAATGAACGCATCGAGCCACGCTTTCTTTACTTTGACTTTGAAAACTCGACCTATTCATAAATGGTACAGACGAGCGCTCAACATCCAGCCCATTTTGTACCGCTAGGTGAAAATCCGCGAGCTGTTGCTAATACTGCTCGCGTTCTACGTGGGCCAAACGACCGGTGAATTATTAATACATCAGTTCCCATTCCGAGAAAGCATTTCGGCTTTTACATAATTTCGAATCGAAGAATATGTTGCTAGTTCAAGCGTAGATTCTCAATGTTTTCCAATGGGGAAGTACACAATAAACAACAATGATCATTACATTCGCGAATGCACGAATCTTTTAACGTACCATGTGTTCCATACAAATAGAGATTTCTCCATCACTGTAAAAGGCCCCATAAAATCCAACGATGTAGGGGGAGTTGCAATCGTGTAAAACCTTGAGTTCTCTGATGATCTGGTTCCTTATAGCTGGTTTGATTTCCAAGTGAATTAGCTGCACATGAAAAGAAACACGAGTTACTTAGAAAAATGGTCAAAAATAGCACAGAAATTCCTGAAGGTCATAGACTCCTCAGAAATAGGTGCGACAGAGAGCAGAAACCGCTTGGAATGACAAGAGAATGTATTCCTGACCGATATGTGGAAAACGATTTGCAAAGCAAACGGGTTAAATTGAAAATAGACACGGCTGGGAATTAAATTGGGTTCCAAATACTCTTGATCACTCACTTACCTTTCGAGCCATTATCAGACCGCTCGGCTTGTGCAAAACCTTTGTAACGACGCCACCATTTCCTGCGCCTAATTCAGCCAATTTCTCAAAATCCTCTGCGTTCAATTCTCCAATTTTCCTCTTTTCAGCTAGAAACGCCTCCAGCCTCTCGCGCTGTAAGGAATCCAAGTTCAGTTCGTCGAATTTCTTTCGTATCTCCTCCACTTTTTGCGAGCCGATGCCGGCAGCATCGTTACTGCAGAGCAGAAAAGGACGAAAGCACAAACCTCATTTCGTACACGACATGTACAAATGAACAAAAAGACAGGGGTGGAGGAATTTGACCTCGGAACGAGAACAAAATGATAAAAATCGAGCATATACTTACGGTAATACTGGATCAGGGACTGTAGTGGATGGGGCTATAGTCAAATTCAGTTTGTTCAACTTTTTGTTAGGAGGTTTGGACATGACGGCTAGCGGCACGTTGCTTCGTTTCCAGAAGAATGATGCTTAGAATCTATTTCCTCTTTACCGCAACATTCCGCATTGCACGACAGATGTGTATTTTTGCAGATCTAACCATTAATCTACCTTTCCCCTGCAGAATCACAAGCCCCAGGAGCAAAAGTAATTCATCTGAAAGCGGCCTGGGTGACGAAAAACGCGAAACAGACAATAATACTCTTCAAGTTGAGTCTGTTCGAAGCCTTCAGTACAAGTGGTCAGCAATAAAAACAGCGCTGTGAAAAGTGGTATTTATATAAGAAGTCACATCGTGTAAGGCAAACTAGGTGCTGTTCAAGAATAAAGAAGTGAACTCCGCGGGGAAATTACTAAAATGATATTGAAGAAATATTTCAGAATCTGTTTTAAAGTAACGGATCCTTGCTTGGCTGACCGGATGAAGCAGTTTCCTTTTGTCCATGTTTTGCTTTCAAGTTCCTAGAATGTTTTCGCGGAAGTGAAAACCGAAAGTATGTGGAACTCCTATGGGAAAATTCCTGAACCCGATCTAGTCATCTTTCTTTTTTTTTTTTTCCTGTAGAACAGCTTCCCGTTTGATTTTCTAAATTATTTCGTTAGATTCCAACATATATCAGTCGATGTTGGACCCTAATCCGATAGAAAAAGATAAAAAAAAGATGCCTTTACAGCATCAATGCACTCTGACAAAACAACTGTCTTGCGTGTTTGTCCATCACTAACTCAGTTTCATTCTTTATCACGGCACCTCATCAGCCTATCAGTTTAGGAAAATGAAAGAAAAACATGCGTACGTGCTCAGAAAGAAAATATTCTGAGAACGGAATACCTGGATTGAAATAGATTTTAACGTCAAGACAGCTGTGCACCACCTAAACGCCTGTTCCCTCACGATTTTTTTGTGCTTTTGTAAATAGGAAAAAATTCCAATTTTCATCTCGGAAAAGTCTGAAACTTCAAAGCGATTGGATGAAATCCTGAGAGAGGATATCTTCCCTTGATGTCACACATAAAAAAAAATTACAAAACAAGCCAATAATAAAGAAAGGAAGGTAAGATACAATATCAATGAGACCGTCACAGAAGAAGTTCCAAAATGTTGTTATCAACTTTTTACTCTCGCCAAATTTATACAAACAGTGTTTGCTATTGCTGAAAACCTTCATAGTCAATTTGAAGAAAATCAAGCTGCTATAAACGGCACCATATGCAATCGGTCAGTAGGTTGTCTATTGTTTGATATTATTGATATGGGTGTTCTTAGATAAATAAATACTTGGTTGAGTTTTATCGATCACTACGCCTTTAAAATGAGTCTAAGTTACACGGCCGTATGTAAAACTACCGGTTGATTATACTCTTTATAGCACTAAAAGTGTCTCCAACCATTCTGACGAAGCCCTGAAATGTTTTTATAAGATTAATAGTATAAATTAAACCTTTTTAGAATGTATTCTGTGATTTCAATATAGAGCAAAGTGGCACAAAGTGCTACAGGTCCAAGATGAAGCATGCTCTTGTCACCCAAAATGGTGGTACTGACTTGACACACTGAAGGACTAAATTTTCTTAGCTTGTCGTTCAATAAAGTTTGAAACCTCTTAGATAACTAGGATTGTCGTCTGCTACATTTTGCAAGTGCTGTGTTTTGGCAAACCTTGTTTATTAAACTACAGGAAAGCTTTTAACTATCAGAAAAAGCGCCTCTAATGAGGAACCCAGGCGTCAACCGTGAAAACGGAATTCACTGAGAGTAAAGACTCTCCGATGAGAATCAAAATCCGAAGCTTACAGCATTAAAGTATAGCTAAAACTTCTTTTCGATGAGTTAAGAACCCTCTCTCAGGAGAAAATTTGTAAGCATTTCTTTACAAAGTTCCGTTTGCAAATCAGGCACACACAATTGAATGAGATTTTATAGGAAATCTGTTTCCTTACTTGGGCTTTGGGCATGGCTATAACCAAAACACAGAGAGGGTTCACTGAGTTCACTTTCTGAAATACTCTTTGAATTATGAAAGAATCTCACCAAAAACAGTTTAGTTCTTTGCTACTAGCATAGAAACATGAATTCATTAAAATCTAGGTGGGGAAAAGTGACAAGGAGCCTCATTTCTTCACTATAAGTCTGGCGCCTCTGGATATTGCAAAATGGCGACTGTGCAATCTGTCTTTGTTTCACGCATTCGCAGCAGCCAACAGAAACTTGGAATTAAATTATCGTCGTTCATTTTTGGCTTAACTTGTTTCCTAATCATCAGTTTTTGATCCCATAGTGTTTTTAAGGGTATCCTGACCGAGGTCGTTAAATGATTTGCATTAAATACCATTTACATTAATTTGTGACACCTCGCTTGATGAGAAAGATATTAAAAATACCCAGGTATACATTTAGAGGAGACAACTTTGGAACCACGTACGAAAAGATAGTTCTCATAGTTAAATTTTTCCCGACTTACCATTTGCTTGCGAAGCTCTGCATAACAGCAAGCGGTTAAAAACTTTCAGGAAGAAACACAAATTCCAAAATGTCGGCCTCTGATATTCAAACTGGTTCGTGACAGAGGACTGTTCCCTCAGGCGTCAGGTCTTTCAAAATAAAATTGGCGCGAGTATGAAATTACGCTACTTGCATCGTGAAATCTTTTCCGAGCAACTTTTTTTACACCCGCCTCATTAGTAATCAAAATGTCTGTTGTTTTACCAAGATCCCGTTCGCGATCCAGATCGAGATCGAGGTCACGCTCAAGATCCCGCTCGAGATCAAGGTCGAAAAGTCCCGGCGGCAAAATGAAGAAGGCGAAAAATCCAAGGGCAAAGAGACCAGCTCGTCGTCCTGCTGCAGCGCATCCACCGTACATTGACATGGTCGTCACTGCCATAACTGCGATGAAGGAGCGAGGTGGTTCTTCGAGGCAGGCCATTGAGAAATACATCAAAGCAAATAACAAAATCACCGGAGATCCATCTTCGCATTTGAAGGTAGCTTTGAAGCGCGGCGTGCAGACCGGCAAGCTGATACACACTAAAGGAACTGGTGCATCGGGATCCTTCAAAGTTGGAAAAGCACCTGCTGCGCCAAAGAAGAAACCAGCAAAGAGGGTAGTCGCTAAAAAGTCCAAAAAGAAGGCTGGCACGCCTAAGAAGCGAACAACGAAAAAGACAAGCGCTAAGAAAGCCACAAAGAAAAAGAAGACTCCAGCTAAGAAGGGAAAGTCTCCAGCCAAGAAGAAAACCGCAGCAAAGAAATCTGCAGCAAAGACTGCTGCAAAGAAAAAGACAAAGAGCCCTAAAAAGCGAGTTACACCTAAAAAGAAGACAGCCAAGAAGACCAAAGCAAAGGCTAAGAAGTAAAGGAACAAAAAAAAACAAAAAACAAAAACGGCTTCTTTAGAAGCCACCAAATGAAAAGAAAGAAATGACCAACAAAAGCGATAATTTTATTTATTATTGTTGTCCTCTCCTCCTTCATGATTTATTATAATTGGAGTTTGTTTTCCCTAGGTGTTTTGTACAAATTTACAAAATTTTCTTTCCCAATATAAACACATCTATGTCATTTCCCCCTTTCAATTGCACTGCGTGGGGGTAAATTTTAACGAGGGGCGCCAATGCCTCATGAAAGAATGATCAAAATTTTTGAAAGCTGGGTGAATACCAAACGAATGCGATCGGTGACTTGCATTTACCTTTACTTTACCCTAAAACCCCTTAAACCTCTGTCCCCTGAAGCTCCGAGGTTAAACATAAGAGGAACATTGAAAAAATTCGCTATCCATGGAAGCAGCTTGGTTTTTGTAACGTCACACCTGGGTTTATCAGGTTGGGGTCTTATAAACCGAGTGGACACATACGTGAAAGGAATTTTAAACAGTTTATGTACTCTGTGGTTGCCACATCTGTATTTTGAGCTCGAAAAAAGTGCTTTTTGTGCATACTGCGTCAAAGTTTTATTTGTTTGACAGCTTCGGACCGCAAGCAACATTCCAATGACGAGAAGATCAAATATTCTAAATGATGAAGATAATGGAGATACGATTTTAGATTGTCGACACAGCTAAACGAGACAAAACAAACCACCTCACAAGTCAAAAACACCGAAGGTCCCTTGAAAAATGGCAAGTGGGGGAAAGTATACAACCCAGTGGTTTAATGGATTAATGGAGATGAACTGGTAAAAAAAACCACAAGCTTCAGGTATATATATCAGGCTTTCAGAAACTCTAACAAGATTCACAACTCATAAGTAACTAAAGAATCATTTATTTAGTATTTCAAATACGATAAGATAAGAACATATGTCATCTCGTTTCACAGTTACAGATATATACTGAATAAATAATCATTTTGTTCCATGCTTTGATTGAATTATTCCCAATTACAATAAAATGATGCAAAACGTGCAAAATTGTACACCACCCTTACATATGTATCCATCAATTTGAGAAGTTCTTCTTGAGAAAAGATGGCACCAATGGAGAGTTGTTCACCGAGTAAAGCCTACCTCCCTATGTTGGAGCAATTTCTATGGTTATTCACGGTACACAACTCATTGTTATTCATCACGCATGTGTAAAACCATAAGTCAGACCACAATTACTGTTGGAGTATCCCCTTTTCCTCTGTAATCAACAGTCTACAAAAAACAGCAGTTTAAAAGCGTTTAAAGCAGAGGACAAGTTTTTCTTTGAAAGGGAGTAGAGAGAAGCCATGTCTTCCCTGGAATCACTTCTGTAAATTAAGTCATGCAGCAAAATTGAACTGAGAATGAATTGAAAAGAAAACATTCTGGAACTTAAAAAATTAAGGTAGGGCACATATTATAGTTCTGCAAGTTGTACTTTCCAATCTGTATTTAGCATACATCACTATTATTCCTTTCCAAGGGTGGTAAAGGATTTATTTGTACTGAATTTATGAATCAGCATGAACTGTAATTTGTCTCCTGAAGTATAAGTGACCCATGATTGTTACTTTCATTTTGTGAAAACCTCATGATTTCCCTGAAACCTTGCACGAGATGAAAGGTTTTGCGGTGGCCTCACAGTTCGTGCGCTCGACTCCGGATCAAGTGGTCCGGGTTCGAGCCCTGGCTGGGGTCATTGTGTTGTGTTCTTACACAAGACACTTTACTCTCACAGTGTTTCTCTTCACCCAGGTGTACAAATGGGTACCAGCAAATATGCAGGGGGTAACCCTGTGATGGACTAACATCCCATCCAGGGGGGAGTAACAATACTCCTGGCCACTTCATGTTAAGGAAACTAGAGCTAAGTGCCTGCCCCATGGGCCACCTGGGCCTGTATAAAGGCTTTACTTTGTTTTTGCATGAGATGAGAAATTTGAACATTTCCCTTTTAAATTTGACACCTGAAATGCTGTTTAAAATATATATGACGCTTGAATTTTTCTCAAATGTGTGTGAAATGAGACCAATATCCTGCATTTCCAACCCCACCTTTGATTAAGTTTAAAAGGATAATATTGCAGCAACTAAGATGAAACAGCTTCTCACTTCAGATCCACTATAAACATGGTCATAAGTCAAAGCTACCTTATGAAAATGCTATTGACAAAAGCTAGACACTGAATGTTTCTCAGTGAAATTAAATACATTTTATTTTATCTAAATAAATTTCACCCTGATCAACAGGAGCTAGCCCTAAATTTGAAATTGAACATTTGAATAACTACCAGCTTCATGTCAACTAATATACTCTTACAAATGTATGTTAAATATCAAGTACTTGGATTAAAAACATTTACCATAATGATATGTTTTCACTAATCTGCAACACATATGTGGTTGCTTAACTAAACTAATATCCTAACAGCATTAAAATAAATTACCTCAATGAATATTTGAATGACTATAAACTCATATTGTTATAACTCCAAAATATACCAGTCTACATGTATATGTGGGTACATAGAAAATCTGATATTATTAATCATTAATTATTATTACACCAATACTTTGACTGATTTTTTTGATTACTGCATGATTTTCAAAGAAACAAACTGTTAAGCTCATAAGATTTTTCGTTGGTCACACAGGAAATTTTAATGGATTTGTTTGCATTGTTTTCATCTTTTGCGCAGGCCTTATGCAATCAATACGATGCTCAGACAAGGCTCTTGGAAGCAGTTTTAAAAACTTCAAGATAAATTATTAGAAATCAAATAATAGAGGAATAACCTATTCTTTAATTGATGGTTTGACATATGGTAATACAAACACACATTTAGCTACTGCTTATCGCTCACTTTTTTCTTATCCCTACATGGCTTGGTAAAATACAATGTAACTTACAAAATAACCATGCTTACTACATGTTAAACAATTAAATAAGGTGTCGGTATCAAAATATGTTGCATGTAAAAACATTTTGTCCAAATAAATCAAGTATAATACTTCCCTGACCCTACACAACCCAAGGCATTTCAAACATTGTACCTGCTTCATGAATAGGGAAAGGCACTAAACCCTTTAACTCCCATGAGTGACCAAGACAGAATTTCTCCTTACAGTATCAATACAATATCAACCAGAGAAGTAATGAGAATAGAGAAAAATATCAGTCAAGGGATAATTAGTTGATTCACTACTAAATTCTCTGTGCTAACATTATAAGAATTGAATGGTTGACAGTAAGGAGAATTAGAAACTTGGTCTGGGAGTTAAGGGTTAAAAACCTGAGACCTACATATAACACTGAAATAATTTTATTACTTATCTACACCAAATAGGGTATCTCTCTGATTCAGAATAACAACGAGAATAGAAATGAAAAAAAATAAAGAATAAAAAACAATGTAATGATAAATCATTACAAAATTCATTATTTTTGTCCACAATGATTGCCTCCTAAAATAAGCATACCTCCACTCTTGAGAACTTATGGAATGAACCCCTTAGCAACCCACAAAATGTCCATCTGTACGCCTTAAGCTTTCTAGATTATGTGAAACTCCTTGATAACTAATAAAAGACATACCATTAAAGAAAGATGAAATCATTCCACCAATGTCACTCATGTTCAGGAACTGTCTCCAATGCATCCTCAGAGGTTCGGCTCACTGTCACAACCTTGGGCTTTTCCCTGTGTGTGTTTACAGCTGGAACCTTCAAATCAATCTTCTCCACACGACAACCATATGCTACTGGAGTGAGCTTTATGAGGGTGTGCAATGGAACACGCAAGTAAGGCAACTCATTAGAGCTGTGGTCTAAAAAGTATGCCAGTAGGCAACGGGCTACAGCTTGGTGACAGATCACAAGCACATTCTGCTGCCGCTCCAGCTCCATGATAACTGGTTCTAGCCGGGCCACAAGATCTTCATAAGACTCCCCACGAGCGTAGCGATAGTGGAACTTATCTTCATCTCTCTTTGCAAAAGCCTGAGGAAATTGCTCCTGTATTTCTTCGTATGTCATTCCCTCACATACACCTGCATCAATTTCATTAATGGCTTTCCACTTCTCGATTGGTCTGTCAATGTCACTTGCCGTCTGATTGGTGCGCTTCATTTCACTGGTCCAGACTTTGAGATCATCTGGCATATTTTCCTTAACAAACTTTCCAAGCACCTTGCTGTACTCCCAGCCCCTCTCAGAGAGATCAGAATCTCCTCCAATCCTCCCTTGCAAGTTCATCATGCTTTCACCATGTCTTGACAGATAGATGGCTCTTGGGGTGATATGCAAGTTCATGATGTAGTAAACTACTCTACTCTGCAGATATCCTTCAACTTTATTCATCAGAAATCGCTTTCCACCATCAATCACTTTCAGAAAGGGCATATTAGAATCATGGTCCAAAGCGAGAGGTTCATAGAAATTGTTGTAATGATTAATTCGGGCCTCAAAGTCTTGGCGAGCCTCTTCTGGGGGTACCCCCTGATAGTCAGGGGAGTTTACCTTTACCTCCAGAATGTTGGAACGAATGATCTCGTTGTCATCACAAACTGACTCCACGAAAAATTCCTTAAAGCCATGGGCGGTGAGGTGATCCGTGACTTTCTTTCTTCTAGCTCGAGTGGTGTTCGTAGCATCGAAGATAGCTACCTGTCCCTTGTCGTTCAGCCATTTTGTGATGTCTTCCAGGGCGAGTTCTGCGCACTTTTCCCGTACATTCATTCCATCCGTATTACTTGGATCGAAGAAGGAGTGTTTGCAGTGAGCACCAGCCATTTCGCGGCGGTACTCCCCGAGGTTAAATACCTTGGTGTTGACGCCGATCCAGTTGAGATACCGGGTAAGTTTCCTCGAAACATAAGTTTTACCTCTCGCCGGCAAACCAACCATCACTATGCAAGTAGGAACGTGTACAATTGGAGGACACGAGGCGGGATATAGAGAACGATTCATGGTGCAACACTGGATTATATTCTACCTTTAGTCACGATAACAAATAACTACTGATATTGGACATGTGAAGTCAAGTGCTTCGAAAACCGGGTGACTTTAACGTGAGCTTTGAGCTTCGTGGCAAATCGGATCGAACATTGCATAAGCTAACCAATGAATGGCTCTTATTTTTGGCCAATCACTGCTATAGTGTGTGGCATTCAAGCCAATTGTAAATGAGGAAAACGAACCAATCGTGAGAGTCGGCGCGAAGTATAAATTTTCTACCGTGATTCTCATTAGGCATAGGTATTCTTAGTCCTTCTCTAAGTGTTTGTCGTCGATCATGGCTCGTACCAAGCAAACTGCGCGTAAATCTACTGGCGGTAAAGCACCCCGTAAACAGCTTGCCACAAAAGCCGCCAGAAAGAGTGCTCCTGCAACTGGTGGTGTTAAGAAACCCCATCGTTACAGGCCTGGAACTGTTGCCCTTCGTGAGATTCGTCGCTACCAGAAGTCCACCGAACTGCTTATCCGCAAACTGCCTTTCCAGCGTCTCGTGCGTGAAATCGCCCAAGATTTCAAGACCGACTTGCGTTTCCAGAGCTCAGCAGTGATGGCTCTCCAAGAAGCCAGCGAGGCATACCTTGTTGGTCTCTTTGAGGACACCAACTTGTGTGCAATCCACGCAAAGCGAGTTACTATTATGCCGAAAGACATCCAGCTCGCCCGCCGAATCCGAGGGGAACGCGCTTAAGTGGCTTTATCATAAAAGCGAAAAAAAAAACGGCTCTTATAAGAGCCACCAGATTTATCAAAAGTCAATGACCAATAGTCTAATGATTTCTCTACGTTTATTTTTATATTCTTTTCTTTGCCCTGATTTTGTTAAAGAACGATTTCAGTGAAAACGCGGAAAAGTCTGATTTGACATGTTCCCACAAAAGAAGAGCTTCCAGAAGCTTCATTGCTCCTTTTTTCCGTAAATATCGATTTTAACAACGTACTTTAGAGATTTTCGGGTATAGAACGAGCTGTCCCTCCTCGGTGAATTTCCTCGCGCACTCTGACTGATATCTTCTTGACTTATGCAACAGACTTCGCCAAAATGGAGGGACTACTCGCAATTTGACATCCTTAAGAGTCTATCACCGTCCAGGCAATATGTATTTGCAGTAAAAAGAAAGTTAAGACACCGACTAGCACTACCGAAAAAGAAAAAGAGTCGACTTTCGTGGCCTTCGGAAGTGGTATGACTCGCCGATTTTTTTTTTCCCTTCTCTCGCCAGTTTCCAGTCTTCCTAGGCCCTTATTTAATTTCCAGTCCTTCCCAACTAACAACATGGCCGATTGAACCGCCAAAACTAGCGTGGAAAGGCAAAATAGTTTAGGCGGCGTGTGAGGGCTGTTGATTATGTTTACAATTTAAAGTAGAACTTTCATTTTACTGTTTTCAGAGTAGTTCGAATTTTTTTTTGATGAAAAAAACTCCGATCTCCCATCGCCATTTGCCATCGAGTACTCGCCACTCAGGTGATGTAAACAAAACAAGGAATGCCACCTCGAAGGTTGGAGATCTAATCGCCTTTTTTCTTAAATATAATTATATGATACTCACTTTACCTTTTAGATTAAACCAAATAAATTGATCTTTACTACCCATGTCAAATTGATGAACACTTTATCTGAAATTTTTTCGGAAAGATATGGCAGTGTTCATTTGTAGCTTGATGTCTTGTTGTGGTGATTCAAAGGAACTGTTGGAACTTAAGAAATTTTAAAATGAGATCTTGTCAAATGATTGCTCCTAGACAAGGCCTTTAGTGTCCTCAAGTAGCTCCACATCAGATTTCCAGCAGAAATCCAAAAATGACAGTGTCTTTGGTAAGACACTCCTAGACACACAGACATCATTAAGTGTAAGAGACAGACAACTACAAAAATACCAGCAACAGTTAGAGGTGAGACAGTAAAAGGAGTCACAACACTTGATTGAAGTTAATATCAGTAGTTTCAGAAGCCAGCAATGTGGTAGTTTTCAGAGTTTGTGCAGTGATACAGTAGAAATTTACCGGAAGACCACCACCTCAGTAATATGTCCACCCTTGAATTATAATCCTTAGTTTTGAGACCAATTGGTTATAGTAACAGAGTAGTTCTGTACTGGATGCTATTCATGGAATGTTAGAAAAACTACTGAGTGCCAAAACAAAAGAAAACAGAGATGGCTCAGCGAAAACTCTTCTTTCTCAGACTGCCCTCAATGACTATCAGCTCTGCTTGCTGGGTCTTCTAGTAGACCTTTCCTGAATACTTCTTTTACTGATTTGTACATTATTCTCAAGTCTTGTTATTTTCTCCATAGAGAAATCTTGCATGTTCTTTAGTTCTCCAAGTTTCACTGAATTCATTATTTTCATTTGATGCCTTCTTAAAACGAACAAGGGGAATATGCATGTAAGTTGTCAAAATAAATTCTATTACTCCTCTTTCAGCATCTGAAGAAAGAAAATAATGAACTCAAAGCAGAGCTGCAATTCATCAGGTAATTACATGATAAAGATTGGATTGGCTGGTCCAGTGGAAATTATAGTGAAGGGGCATTTTACACACTCACATAATCAGTCTTATGGTAAAACAAAGTTTTTTTGCAGGTCTCTCTACAAACAGCTTGTGGAAGAAGTACCACAGGAGAGATTTGATGAACGAAGAGTAAACTTACTTAAATCTCAGGTTATACAACTAGAGAGACAAGTAAGTAGGTTTAATTTATTGTAAAAAATAACTTGCTTTTCTGAAAGTGTTGATCAATCCCTGGCTATAGGTAACTTTATCAGTTGTTGTGGTACTTCTACCTTAAAATGGTGAAGTTGAACTCAAATTGTCAATTTTGAACATTTGGCTCTTATGGTGGAAATACATTATTCCTATTCTTTGTCAACAGGTTCTTCTCCAGGCTAGTGCTTTGCAAGCCAGAAAAAATTTGTTCCTACAAATTGAAAATAAACTTCTAAACTTAAAAGAAACATTGAGGTATGGAAAACTTTTCATCCATCAGCCTTTGTCTGGCTTGATTTTAAAATCAAATAGTTTGATTTGACATTAAGTGAACATGTCTGAGGAAAAATTTTTTTGTTTTCATAGAAAACAATTGGATCTTGGTTTCTTACAGCTTCAGTACCTGAAAAGTGTTACTATTTTGTTTCTTCATCCATTCTGTAGGAGTCTTTACTCACCAGATGAGCCATCAAATTATTTAACAGTATCACGTGAATATATACAGAATTTGGAATATCGATTAGAGGGAACAAGACTTGATTTATACAAGAACAAAGAGGTAAAAGTACGATTTTTTTTTCAGTTGAAAGTAGAATCTCAGTGGGAGAGGACAGTTCAACTACCTTGTATTAAAAGGTTAAAGTAAAATTCTCTGTTGACTGTTTGTCATCTTAGAGTGCTGAGGCTGATGACCTCTGTCTGCCTGCCATATACATGGATGATTTCTTGAAACAATCAAAATCTGTGGAAGATCAAACTGTTACCCTGTTAGACTGTTGCAGTGGAAAAGTTGAACATCTTAACTTGAAGCATGTGGTGAGGTATCATTTATAAACCCTTTATGTTAGATGCTTAAGTGGCAGTACCCAAGTTAAATTCACAAGGAGAGATTTGTATCCAGTATTTCCATAGAAAAATATGATGACATGGACCTCTTTCATGATGGCAAGCATGCTTGTTATTCTTTGATGAGCATGTAAATTAGTTTTCTGAGCCTTGCTTTTGAGGGAAATTCTCTTGTTATCGAACATGTTGTCGAGGTCAGTAAGGCTCATTTACCTGAATATTAAAGAATAGCAATTTTTCTTGCTATTCATGAAATCATAAAGGATTTGATTATAATACAGAAGCCTTTTTGGGTTCAACATCTACATTCTTATGCCTTTTTTTTTTTAACAGGGGAAGGGAAAGAAATTTTTTGGTTTTTGAAGTGAGTCAGAAGGGTATAGTCTAAAAAGTGTAATACAGGGTTCTTAGAATAATGCCAACAAGTTTCATTAGTTTCATTCACAAAACTGATATGCATGGTCAATTCAAACCCTTTCATTTTCAGTCCAGGCTTGAATCAAAGCTCTGCAAACTTTACAAAAACATGGTTTGCCTGAAGGAAATGCTTACAGTTGAGCCATCCTCACAACCAGCAAGCTTAATCAGTGAACATATATCACAGCCAATCAGAGATAGGCTTGCAAGTCATGTGACAACAGTGACAGACATGCTGAGAGACTGTAATGAGGACCTGTTGTCTTTGTCTGTCCTGTATCCTGCTGCGCCCTGGGTAAGGTCCAGTTGAGTAACAATCACTTCCTACACATGTACCTTTAATAGCTGACATGCTAGGGTTTTAATAACTTATTTCTCAAGTGTTGGTCAAAGGTGAAATTGCTCACTGTTGGGCCTTAAAAATGCAACAAATGGAATCTTAACAGACAACAATGAAGGCCTCGTAATTGACTGTGGACAGCCAATAATTCCTACATATTGAAATGCCTGGACAGAAGTGCAGTTTTTATGGCCCCAGTGGCAAATTGTTAGCCAAAATTTCATGAGCACTTTCAGCTTTTTTCACCTTCCCCATCCCTGAGGTTACAATAAGTATAATTTCTGTTCTTAGTTACTTCAAAAGTCATTGAACTGTGGAATGGGCCCAAATTCTTGTCTCACTACCCTCCCACTTTCTTTTTTACCAACACACCCACATTCTTGCATGTTGTAGAGAGTTGTTTGTGATCCTAACCTATTTTCACAGACAAATCACAAGCAACCCACAACAACAAGGAAGAATGTGGGTGACTTAGTCAAAGGATAAAAGGAGAGGTAGCTAGTAAAAAATTTGGGCCCATTCCAAGATTCTGATATTTTGGTATTCACAGGTGATAATTTCATGTAAAATTGTAATTAATAAGGATTACAATAATCCCAATTCTTGTTGCACATTGCAGCCTCCCTTAAAGAAGGCTATTCGAGAAGACCTCACAGAAGAGAGTATCATGTCTCACATGCCAGAGCTGAGCCGGAAAAAACAGCAAGAGGTAGGATCATACTATGAAACAATAACCCTACAGTTACATTTTAATTTATACCAGTGTGAATTAACTCT